TCTTCCACTACTTCTTCCATGGCCGGACTTATGTTTTCTTTTGTTTTCGTCATCGGTTTCGTGGAGGCTACATGGTCAATCTTCATCCGTTTCGGCACGACACCACTTGTGTCACTGTCAGCGCGGCGTGGAACTATTGCGGCTACCAACAGACACCGAGTACCCACGATCCCCAGTGGTATCGCCGATGGCATCAAGAGAAGACATGCCTGCTTGGACTAGCACTCGTAGCTAGCTACCGCTACTTGGATCGATACTGTGTGATGATTGAAGGAACCCTACCTGGTATTCCGAATTCCACTCAACAAATCCAGTAGTGCCCACCGATCTTTACTATTCCTGAGGGACAGATCCTCGCCAGCCCAAACTAGAAGAATGTTCCTGTATAGAAACGAGGACACGAGTTAGATAAGGCAGCAGTAGACGTTGGTGAAGTCAACATACCTGCAATTGTCTTATTGCTTTGTGTTATCGTACTGCAGGACAACCTGTCAATTCATGACAGGAATTCCTTAAACCTTAACCTTAGCAAGAGGACCGAGGTGAGATCAACCATTATTACGGTACAGTACTGTACTGTACCGTACCGTACCAGGTGACCGTAGTGAGACGACGTTTCGTGCAACGCGTGGGTGACGTCAGACACATCTTTCTCACATCTTTCTCCTGCCCCAATGCGAGTAAAAGCAAAGCAATGCAAACCACTGCAAACCTTTGTTGCTTCGATTCGTCTCATTAACAACAGTGGTCTGTATAGAATACTTGGACAAAGCTTTGTCAACCATGACGGCAGGTGAAGAACAGAAAGGCGGTGCAAAGAAGGACATGCGGTCTGACTTCGAGAGGACAATCTCTATGATTCCTGCGCCATCCTTCACAACGGATGTGCCTCCTGAATGTGCTGGTACTGCCATGTCCATGGTTTTTGAAGAAGAGTCTGAAAAGGCACCACCGAAAGAGATCATGAGGAATGTCCGCGAGTTCTGTGAATCGCAGGACATGGTGGAGTTCTGCGAAAAAGCAGGCGTGATGGGAGGTACTTTTGAGTGGAATGCCAACAACAACAATGCTTCGAGGTACTTCAAGAGACACAGGTAAGCAAAGAAGAGCAGTGAAGCTACGTTGCTTCCTCATGGGCCCGTTCACATGCCTCATTTCTCCCCGCTTTCCACCAGTAACGTTACTACACGATTCTTGAGGTCTTACGAGAAGAATCTTGAAAAGGTTGTCCCCTTGAACCACCACAAACAGTACATCAACTTCTGGGAAACCTACCGTCACGACGAATCTGCGAAGCGCATCGGTGTGGTTTTCCATGGTACACCCGAAGAAAGAGTCCAAGAGATCTTGAACAATGGTCTGGACCCCAAGTACCGCAAGACTCAAGCCTTTGGAAAGGGGGAATACTTCTCCAAGGACCCAGGTTTGGCAACAACATACACTAAAGGTGGACACAAGATGATTGTCTTCTTGATCTTCATCCCTGAAGAACACGAAAGGTACTACAACCAAAAGGATCGTGACATTATTGTCGTAAACAACACATCCCACGAGCTTCCTATTGGAGTGATCACCTATGAAAGTGTCGACCGCGCGATTGTCCAACACACTCAAAGATTGCGCATTGAACAAAAGGAGATGAAGTTCGAAGCCATGGGCAAAGAAAAAATTCTGAAGAAGGCCAAGGAGGATGGTGCTGACGAAGGAACCATCAAGAAGCTAGAAGACGATGTCCAGGAAGCTTGGGACGAGTACTTTCGCACCAAGCTCAACAAGGATAGGAATGTGATGGATCATCTCCACGAGACCAACATTATCTTTGACAAGTAGATTGCTTTGGAGGCGGGCTGAATACGCATTGCTGGAAGCATTATGACCGTCTTCATTGTGCGTTCTTCTCAAGTGCCAGCTACGCACCTACTTCACCCCCCGTGGGCAACCACAACAATGAGATCTTACCGGGCAGTTCTTTTCTGGAGCTCCTTCCGGTATAATATACCTCTTAGATATTTGCATTTTAGTTTGCTCAATTAATACCGTAGAGGAGTTACTCATCAGGCGCAACAAGATCATTGCCCCTTCTTGACTTGGGGTGCTCAATTGTTTACTGTAATTAATTAGCTCGAAAGATTGCCTGTCTTTCGGTAGGGAGGCATTTAGCTAGCAGAGCTGTTAATCACAGTTACCAGCTTTGATTCCCGTTTCAAAATTGCGCGTGCCAGCCATGGACTCCCATACAATGGCTATCGCAGGTCTTGACAGCGAATTCCGAGTTCCGAGTTCCGAGACAAGAACAAGAACGTCGAAATTGGCGTCGATGGTGGTGCAGGTGTGTAAGCTGCCCGATACGACTGTAGGAGGATGAAACAGTTTTCATTTCTGATGATATTGCCCGCACCTTTGCTGCTACCGGTACCTGTATGTATCATGCTGCAACTACTGGTATCATCTTTTCATCCACCTATAGTGTTCCGGCTCCGAGCCAGATCAGCCTTTCCAGAGAGAGGAGAAACCGATGTGGTGCAGCACTATGATAGCGAGCTCGAGCCCGGCTCAAGATATTAGTTTTTATTCAGTTGTGATGGGAGCAAAAGCAAGCATTTTACCACAGGAGAGTCGAGTCTGCTCCAAATACGAGTGACTAATGATGATTTGATTCAATCTACCGGTATTATCGGTGCAATCATCACGTCATCATCAGCCAGAGCAGAGCTAAGTTTGTTTACTTCCAGTTGAGAGGAGCCTCTGCTTCAGTATGAGTCACAGTCTAGTCGAGCCCAAGGGATTGATCCGAACACCTGCCAACGTATATCCTCTTACGTCGCTGTGCTTGCTGGTGATCCATCAAAAGTAGTCTACAGTAGAAAAAAGTGCTCTATGACCTGCATCATCGAGACAACACCATCGGCATCTTTGGCTGTGTCCGTCTTTGCCGAGCACTGTCTGGCTGTCTGGTGGGGACGGCTATGCTGACGTTGACGGCAAGGACTGGTCGTCGTACGTCGTACCTGTTTAAAGTGAGCCATGGTCGTAGAGTGTCGGAGTGGCGTCCCACTCTCCGCCGATACGCAATCTATTTTCCCACATCTGTCCACACACTGTCAGCCATCAACTGTTCGGATTGTTGCTTTTTGATGGCTTCGCATTGCGGCATTCTGAGAGGCGCTGCTGAGGTCAGGGTTGCGGTGCCCAAGGCTTCGGATTTGCGCAGTCTTGGAATCTTAGCATCATTTCACCACATCTATCTGTTTGAAAGAGGGTTTCTTCCAGTATGCATTTCACTAGAGAAATTTTTTAGCCTTGAATTTAAGATACTATACCTAACTATTTCTGTAGTGAGCGAAGATACATGTAGAAAGAAACAGATAATGGTGAACGTACATTGTAGTACGGTAGGGTAAGAGTGTGAACAGCTGGTAAAGAAAATATTATCTTAACAAAAGGGTTCAGAATATCACAAACTGCTGTACCCGTAAAGTGGTGGAACACTCCGGCATGAGTTCAATCTTTTCATAGCGACATTTCTGTTTTGTTATGTTTGTCCGTTTAACGTTGTTTCCCTTTGCCTTGAATCTCAGCATGACGAGACTCTGACTCAGCACGAACTGTTCGAGTTTGTTACAAAAGCAACAGAAGGGGTTCGAATTTGTTACATTACTCACAGCTGCAACATGCGACAGGCAGAGTTCGAGTTTGTTACATTGCGGCCAGCGTCTCCTCACACGCAATCTTCGGAGTTCGAGTTTGTTACACAATGTCATCTGGCCACGAGCGGCAGGCAGAGTTCGAGTTTGTAACCAGAGAACAGTCAGAGTTGGCATGGATTCAAAGTCTTACAGCACTGGAAAGCTGGAACACCGAAAGCAAGGAAAGAGCCGTGGGTGAGTTCTCGTTGAGCCAGCTAAAAAAATAGCAACTGCACTTGTCTTATTTCAAACTTTTTTGATTCTTTTAGATGAGGTATTGTTTTAAAACTAATTTATTTTTGATTTACCTCAACTACTTTTTCAGACAAAGATAGATTGCGAGTGGGTCCCCTTCGGCGGACGTGTTCCAAGGAAGGTGCGACACAGCCCCAATGCGAAGAGCTTTCAGAGTCAGGGTCTACGTAACTTTGGCTTCACATTTGTTCACCCTCTGAACTATTGTATGGCTAATTATATCGCAAGATGCGGAAACCTTTACGCAAAAAGGGAGAGACCTGAGAAAGGATCACAAATTCGACTCCAGCTTGTCTCACAAAACAACACCCAACATACATCAAACACAACAAGATGACAATGAACTCCTCAACTGCTACCTACACCAAAAGCCAATGCAGTGAATGCCTTGGCAGCCTGCAAGCCATGCTATCAAGGGAAGAGAAAAGTTATGGCTGCTGCAGCGTTTCTGATACTGATTACGCTGATGTCCGCCGATCACTGGTGGATGTCTATGATGAGGTCTTTGACCTTTGCCAACTGCAAAACCGAGACACTGTCTCTGTAGCCATCTCTTACCTAGACCGGTTCATGTCGGTACAAAAGCGATTTGTCAATGTGCAAGTTGCAGCCATGACATGTTTCTACCTGGCAGTCAAACTCTATGAACCCACAGTGATCCCTCCCTCCATGCTGGTCGAAGTGTTTTCTCGAACACTCGACTGTGACGAAGAGCAAGAAGACGACGCTAGCACTGATACCGTAGTGACAGCCGAGGCCATTGAAACTATGGAAATGAAGGTGCTCTCTGGTCTGAAATGGAACTTGAATCCTCCCACAGCCATGATGTTTGTTCGACAACTCTTGTGCTGTCTTCCTGGTCTCAGCCAATGGAAGCAAGCTGCCATCGACTTGGCACAAGCTCACCTCCGAGTGGCTGTCAGGTCCAATGACACCATGGGCGTCCGTGCATCCACACAAGCGGTCGCTGTCCTCTTTCTTGCCGTTGAGAAACTTTCCCCGGCTCAACGTGCTCCCGTCTACAAGTTCCTCCTGCAAGCCGCTCGCATGACCAGTGGCGGACATCAACGCCAAGTCTTGACCGTGCAAGGCATGATCAAGATGCTGGCTGCCGAAGCCATCCAAGAGAGCACACCCGTGCTCCCAGAAGTGGTTGTGCTCAAGCGACCCGCCACTTGCGACGACTTTGCTACTCCTCCTCCTGCCAAGAAGCAGCGCAAGATGGTTCGAGAAGTCTCCTTCACTTCCTCCCCTCGTTCCACACTGCTATTGGCATAAACCTCCTGACTTTCAATACTGTTAACTATTAACTTGTACCATTATCTCCCCCAAAACCAAACTCTTTAGTCTACTATCTATCTAGCTAGTAGTATGTACAACCTAGGAGACATCCACAGCCCTATTGGGATTCGTACCTCTTGGTTGCCAGAGCAGAGTTCTGAACAACGATACAGACCGAATTAGAAACTACATGCGCTTCTAGGTAAGTTGAATGTTGCTTGGGTCTTAGGTCCAGCTTCCATGATGGTAAGCCTCTTGGTTAGATTGGACTCTACTGGCTATCTGCTACATGTCTCTAGCTAGTAGTAGGTAGCTAGAGACAGGGGTACCGACACTCTCCCGGGGTACAAGCAAGCCCTCAAGAGATAGTCTACTAGATGACAAGGGAGAGTCATCATGATCCAAATGATTGAATCATTTCAACGCAAGCAACAAACTAAACCAACCTTATTACCAACCGCTTTACCCAAGCTGCCTCATCAGCATTCCCCATACGATTGATGCAACAAGATGCATCACCTAAAGTGGCTCCTTGGGCTGCCTCTGATGGTTTCTTGACTTGGGCTGCAAGCTGGGAAAGTTTCGAGGTTTCAGCGAAACGAACGGTGTGTCTGTGCATGATGATGTGCAAGCTGATAGCTTTGACAGCTGGTTGAACCATCGAGTACCGCTTTTCCGAGGTCAGAGGCACGTCAGAAATCAGGCCGGCGTGCACGTCTAAAAAAATCTTGGCATCCAAGCTTGCACAAGATAGCGCAAGGGTGTCATGGTGTCTACCAAGGTTCCATGATGCTGGAACTTGAAGGGTGATGTGGGGATGATGCAAGAGACAGAACGCAGAAGGTCTCCGTGAGCGAGAAAGAAATGGATGTTTGTCCCAGGTTCCTGTCATGTATCCTGTTCACAACCTCTGGGACGACTGTGAGACAGAACTTGCATCGCCATGACACAACACTGTTCGTATTGCTGCCATCTATTGCCAGGCAAGAACGATGTTGGCATTGAAAAATTTGGCATGTAAAGCAGCAACTACTGTCCTAACTTTTTAGCTGGTCCAAGGAAAGAGATCATCTGGAAGCCCAGCTTTTGTTACGTCGTCCGTTGTGTTTTGCTTGGTTTCCCTCTTTCTCTCCAACGCACCGTTATTTTTTCGGTCAAACTACAATGTCATGAACAAAATGTCATCGTCGACGAGGGGATGGTCTTGAGAAGGTGAACAAGAATCGAAACTTTACGGGGTAGTGGCTCATTTCAAGCTGTAGCTCATCACAGATCACAGCAGTCGCTTTCTGTGCCAAGGAACAAAACCAAAGCTGGCCATTCCCCTAGACTCCGCACGCTGTTTTCTTTGCTGTACTCGGAGCAACTCTCTGTCCCATGTTTGGGTCCTGCCTTCCTGCAGACCGAAGGCCGCCGGCTTTCGGTTGAGGATTTTTGCTTCCAATTTACACGCTCTACGTTGATGAGGTGATTGTTCAGTTCATTCCCGCCCATGGTTTAGTCTTCCGCTTCTTCGCACCGAGATTGGGAAAAGATCACCTCCGTCGTCTGGAGCTGAATGGTCATTTTGGCCCCCGGCTCATGAAGGATTTTCAAACAGGCAGCTGCGCCTGAACTATGTACATGCACATGTTGCTCCTGACATCATTTTGAGGCAACCCAGGGGGCAAGATGTTGTGATAGCAGATGTTCCACTTTGACAGAAAGAAAAAGATGGTTGCCTCCTTTTCCGCGTACCCGTAGTCGAGTCTGATAAGATTGCCTTGACAAAGGCTGAGGCAGTCGTCTTCTGGTTGCCATTGCGATATCGTTCGGACTTGTGTGATCTTCCTGGTTGAGAATGCCTTCTCGAAAACGGTGCCCTGGGCAATTCAACTCATTCAGCATCCATGGCTTTAGGCTGCTTGACAGCCCTTCGCCGAGAGGGTGCAGGGCAAACGCCACGCAGTGGGCGTTGACTATAGCATGGCTCGCAAGATCCAAGGAGACTTCAATGAAGGGATGGCGAAATGCTGTGGCCGCATGGTAATAAGTTTGGATCCATCATGTGAAGTTCCCATGGTTCCAATCGTAGCAAACAGCGATGTATTTTCTAGTGATCGCACTGGTAGATAGGGCTGACAGTATTGAAAGGTAATTGCTTCTCAGACGTGACTGTCCCAAGTACAATGTATTCCCGCCGCATCCATGCACGATGATGACGGGAACAGCCTTGGAAAAGTCAATTTGTACCGTGCTCCTGTGGACAGCTTGTGAGAAGCACCTTCACAATGATTTCGTCCCATATGATCCTCTTGTTGAACGACCATCCCAATGGACAGTTGTGCTTTCTGAGCCACTTGAGAATTTCCATATGATCACCTCTGGCAGCCTTATCACATGTAGATTGATGCCATCGGCTACCGCTCCCGCAGCCATTTTAGGAGCTCAAAATGTCCATATCGTGCAGCTTGGGCACATATTTCAATACTCCAAATAAATCCTTTGGTGTGTGCCCATTGCATGACTGCTTCCAAGCTCCTCTGCAATTGTGGCGCAGGTCGCATACGTTGTTTTGTATCGCACTTGTCACTTTAAAACAACGGACAGCTAGTTTGCTAGCTACCGGTATGCATACAGCGTAGCCCCCTCTCAAGCGACAAGGATTCAAACAGGAGACAGGACAGATTCTTGCCGCGCAACAAGCAAGCACGAGCAACCCACGGGATTTTGGAGAGTTTTCATGCTGGATACTATTAAAGGGGGGTGGGGGGGGTTACCCTGGACAGCCGTTGTCACGAGCCCACTGCAGGACTTCATTGTGTCTGCAAAACCGACACGTCCGGCGATCCCAAGGGCACCCATTTGCCCGCGCCCATTTGAGAACATCCAAGTGCCCATAATAGGCAGCACCAGCACACGTCCTTTCATCCCAAGAACAACCATTGACTCTGGCCCATTCCAAAATGAACAAATGTCCACCTTTGGCAGCATCAGCACACGTCAATTCATTCCAAGGACATCCATTCTCTCTGGCCCATTTCAACACCTCAAAATGACCACCATATGCAGCACCGGCACACGTCTGTTCATCCCAAGGACAGCCATGTTCAAGCGCCCATTTCAGTGTCTCCAGGTGCCCACCTCTAGCTGCTGCTGCACATGTGGATGCATCCCAATCGCAACAACCATTCTCTTTGGCCCATCTAAAGATGTGCAAGTGGCCACCTCCTGCAGCACCACGGCATACCCCATCATCCCAGTGACAATTCTTCAATCTGGCCCATTTCAAAACATCTAAATGACCACCTTTGGCTGCATAGGAGCATATCAGCTGACTCAAAGGGCAGCCATTTTCCCAGACCCACTCTAGAAGTTTCAAATGTCCACCTTCGGCTGCCGCTGAAGTTGTCCCTTGGTTCCATTTGCATCCCTTCTCTCTGGCCCACTTCAAAAGTTCCAAATGGCCACCTTTGGCGGCTGCGATGCAGGTTGATTCATCCCATGCACAACCATTGTGTCTCGTCCATTTTAGGAGTTCCAGATGGCCACCTTTGGCAGCTGCTTCACAGGTTGATCTATCCCATACACAACCATTGTTTCTCATCCATTTTAGGAGTTCCAGATGGCCATATTCCGCAGCTTTTGCGGATGCCTGTCTGCCATTACCCCATGGAAATCTGTTGTTGCGTGCCCATTGCATGACTGGAAGGGACCCAACCTTGGCAATATGGGTGCAAACCAAATCGTAAGGTGGGGATCGATGGCGGTAAGTGTAACTAACCCAGTATCCGGCACATGCCACATTGTGGAATGCGGCAGAATAGTAAGTATCCCTGTAATTTGCCTTTCTGTGTGTGTCAGTTGTGCCAAAACCTTGGTGCTGCGCCTTGATCACATTTGGTGGATTTTTCACAGAATCACAGTATTCCTTGTAAAGTTGATTCATTTTCTTGTTTACGGGTCCAACAAAGGCATATTGCCCCATCCCAAGAGAAGGAAGGATATTGTTGATCCAAAGATCCTTCTGATCAAACAGAACATCAATCCCAGGCAACGACTTCTGTCTTTTGGTATTGGGCTCTAATGACATGGCGTATGGATACCGTAGCGAGCAAGTAGCAAGTACCAGGTAGCAGCTCTCGATAGAGACAGCGACAGCGGTTCACCGTTTTAGTTTGCTGTGGATTGTGCTACCGGTAGCTCGTACTGGTACCAGGTAGTGTGGATTGTGGTGAAAAACAGCTAGTAGCTAGCAGCTGTTCTGTTGTGTTGTGAACGTTAGGAAGGGAGTTCGGGAAAATGTAGGTTTTATTGTAAGTATAAAGTTACATTACAGTAGTCTAATCTGAAATTTTAACTCAATAAATCTTTTACCACATCTACCTCAACTCCAGAGCTCACTTCGCACGATTTTGTGAGTCCTGGATCAATTCGTGACCTACAAAAGATCCAATGCGTGGTGGCTTCTTTCTTTGTGTCGTTGGTCTTCTCTACAGGAATAATCTCGCGTTCTCACACAAACTATTCTATTTTATATAAGGGGGTTTAGAGTATTCTGTCTTTTGAAGGGGAATTGGTTGTGTTGTTGTGGTTGTTTCGAATCCTCATCAATATCTTGTCCCACAAGATTGCTTTTGTTGCAGTCTTACTGTTAGCGGCGGTTGTCGCCAGCAGTGGTTTGTCACATGATCCCACTCCCATTTTGATGTCCCAGGGTACCGGTAATTGCAACGACGACATTATGAGTAGCAGCCACAAGATGCGCTGCATTGTCTATGGTGGAACCAAGAATCCCCTGAAAGAATTGACACGAAATCCACCAAGAGCAGGACGAAGAGGAAGAGTGTTGGTGAAAGGTATGTGTTGTAGCAGTACGGTACCGGTGCAATCGAGTGCTGCATGTATTTATGTACTCTGTCTGGGCATCACCTTGGATCACCACAATTATGTGGGAGACCAATCTCATCTTGTTGTTCGTTTAACATTCATCTATTGGGAATAGTCCATGCAGTAGGTCTCAATCCTGTTGATGCCAAGGATGTCATGGGTGACAAACTACCCCATTCATGGACTTGGGCCCGTAGCAGCGTACAATCCATGTTGAAGAATCGAATTGTGGGCTTTGATTTTGCAGGGACTGTGGCAGAAGACCATTCCGTCCAATTTCGACGCGGCGACAAGGTCTTTGGGAATATGCCACCACTCGAGGGGACTTTGGCCGAATACATTTCCGTTCCCTTGGATCAGATCTGTCACACGCCCACCACCAAAACCTTTGTCGAAGCAGCCGCACTGCCACTGGTGGGATTGACAGCATTGCAGAGTTTGTCTCCCTATGTTGTTACCAACGATACCAGTGTCTTGGTATTGGGTGCCAGTGGTGGAACGGGGCATGTGGCGGTGCAAGTAGCTCGCCATGGGTTGGGTGCTGCCCATGTCACGGCCGTCTGCAGTGGTCGCAATGCCGACTTTTGCCGGGACCAATGCGGAGCGACACATGTGGTGGACTACACATTGGATCATGGCAGTCAAGATACTCTCTATCGCAATTTGCAACAAGCTCCGGGATACCCCTTTCATGTCGTGCTCGATTGTGTCACCAGTGCCGATCCAGCGGACCGACAAGTCGACTATCCCTCGTTGATTCGACAAAAGAACAGGGCAACGACGAATGCCAAAGCAACCTTGTTGGTTCCCGACTACAAATATTTACGGCTGGGTGGTCCCACTCCAGATTGGGTACGGGCAGGGGTGGAACGCGTTTGCTTTGGTTTGGATTGCTGGCCCGACAAGCATGAAAAGCTCTTTTGGATTCGTTTCCCCAAGTCATCCCATGAGCTGCAACAACTCCGGGAATGGGCTTCCGAGGGCAAACTGATGGTGCAAGTGGCCGAAACAGTGCCCTTTACGGCGCAAGCAGTGCAAGCTGCCTTTGATCGCATCCTGGAACGGCGGGTACAAGGAAAGATTGTAGTGGAGATTGTCCCGCAAGAACAAGCCCAATCAGCGGCAACAGATGTGCTGTCACCAAGTGGTGTGGTTTCATGACACAACAAGCAAACATGCAAGCATACACATCCGATGGTTTTTGTTAGCTGACTACGACATAGTGAATTGAATTGCTCTTTGGGGAACTTAGTCTGTTGAGGATGAAATGCACGGGCAAACATTGACACTGTAGAAGGCAACTTTATCCCTTTCTCGGTTGTCTACAGTTAGCAAGCTAGCTAGTTGTCCCCAATGCAGTAAGAGAAGTACTCCGAGCACTGGCTAGCTAGCTAGATTGGAACTGATTTTTTGACGATCGAAGAATGTAGCAGTGATAGCTAAAGAGAGTCTATTATGGTTGTTAAGAGCAATTTACAAGGTGATGTACATGTATGCCATTTGTATGTACATGGAGCATGGGAGATTTGTACAAGGAGAGGAGGCTTGGTTGGCTGCTGGAAGAGGGATGGATGTATGGACATGACCAGCTAGAGCTAGCTAGCTACCAGGTAGCTAGGCATTGACTTGACATCCGTGCACGGCCATGCACTCGATAAAGTCGGTAATAGTCTCTGGCAGACCTAGATCTCGAGCCGAATACCGTCTGTGAGGATTTCGTTCGTGGAGAAGAATGGTCCGACAGCACGGGCAAGCGGCCGAGGAGTTTGCCATGGCTCTCAAGTGACGATTCATGCAATGGTGATGAAAGCCCGTTCGACATGCCTTGCAACAACAGACCTTACAGACGCCATCTTGAAAGTCATCGAGGCAAATGGGGCACTGCTCACAAGAACCACTGCTGTTGTTGTCATCACTACTATTTTGTTGTTGTTGTTTGCTCTTGCCCTGTTTTTTCTTCTGGTAGACTCCACAGGAAAGAGTGCTCGCACACGAGACAACAGAATCGTCGATGAGTTCGGGGGGGGCGGCATCGTCGTCCTTCTTTTGTCTGTCGTAGGGTGCGTCCATACTTTGAAAGGTCTTGTAGAGCCCATAACATACCAGAAGGAACGCTGCATCAAACAGGTGCAGAATCCATTGGTCCATCATGGTCGAGTCTCCGTCTGGCATTGTGGTAGCACCAGAATATGTACCAGTAGAGTTCATTATATTGTATGATGTGGTTTTCACCAGTAGCTGTATTGTGACCACGAACAGGAAGGGAGGATTGCCCAATTCAAACTCAACAAAAGCAAGGAGATCTCGTGAGAATCTGATCTTATGCCTCAAAACATCTTCAGTCACCGATATGCCTCTGCGCTGGTCCTCCAGTCACCAAACAACACGGCGGCAACTAACTCTTGTCATTATCTCAATTTATAAGTACCAGTCGAAGAACGACATTCTTCACTGGAGTCCACGTTCTCCAGGATAACTGGATGTTAAACACTTTGGAAAAATTTCTGAGTGCTTCAAATGAAGTTCGTGGTTGTAGACTTTTTATGTACAGCCGTACTCTGATGCACTCTCCATCTAATCGGAATTCACGCTCAGAGCACTCGGATTTATTAAGATCCTGAGTCAGCTTTAACCACTGGCTACTCTGCCTGAAAGACTCCACCGAGCCACCGAGTCTCACAATGGACAGCAAAATTAATAATGGAACATGGAACATTGAAGCAGGTGGATACCCACGGTACTATTGTTCTACTAGCTATTAATAGTAGCACCGGTACCGTAATGGATCATGCCCAGACAGACGCCAGCCGCCAGACGCATACGTGGTGGACCAACGTGGTGATTGGAAGATTGATCAATCGATGGGCGAAAGAACATGGAAAGGTGATGTGTTATCAATGAATGATCGTCGAGGTATCAACATCCAGCCCCGTTCTAATAGCCCCATCTACCCAGAGGTTCGTATTTGATACCAAACGAAGCTATCTACAGCATCATCATGCAAGGAGCCTTGTTCCATGCGCTATTGCTCACCTCGTCGTGGGCAACTACATGTTCGGCGTTTTGGCTTCCTTGTCGTTCGATTCGTCCTTGTCCGACATATGGCGGCAATGCAGAACGAGCCCTTCGTGGAGGAGATGGAGGAGATGGCAGCAATGATAATGATGTTTTGTTGGATGATATTCTCCAAGTGGCATTGACAGCCTCGGCCAAGGCAGCGGGGATTATTGCCATTCACAGTGATGGATCCGATGTGGTCGAAACCAAATCCACCAGCCGCGACTTGTTGACACTCATTGACCCAATGTGCGAAAAAGCCATTCGAGAGACCGTGTTGGAACGGTTTCCACATCACGGCTTTTTGGGCGAAGAAGGTGTGCCACCAGGGATCCAAGCCGCCGAAGCGGCATTGGAAGAAAAATTAGCTGCTAGCACAGACTGGCTGTGGATTGTGGATCCCATTGATGGAACCACCAATTTTGCCAGTGGGATTCCGCTAAATGCGCCCAGTGTCGCTGTAGCCTACAAGGGAGAAATCATGGTGGGAGTCATTCATGATCCCCATCGCGACGAAATTTGGACGGCGGTTCGTGGCAGAGGGGCATTTCTCAATGGAAAACCAATAATTCAAACGTCGTCTTCTTCAACATCCATTGGAGATGCCGTGATTGGGGCTGAATCACCGGCTGGCCAACATAGTTTGGAAGTTGCCGTAAAGGGAATCACAGCCCTCATGCCGCGCTGTCGGACGGTACGAATCCTGGGGTCCACGGCGGTGCAGTTGCCGTGGGTGGCGCAAGGCAGATTGACATGTTATTGGTCACCCGATGAATGTGCATGGGATCATGCGGCGGGAGCCATTATCGTGCAAGAAGCGGGAGGCATCATTACGGATCTAGACGGGTCGCCCTTTACGCTCCGAACTCGCAAATTCATGGCGAGTCAAAATGAGCAAGTGCACCGCGAAGTCTTGCAAGTGCTGAAAGACGAAGCAGGCATTCAATAACAATAATATAGTTAGAAGAGCAGCTGTACGGTGGAGCATTTAGAATCTGCAGGTCTGCTCATTATGCAATCCGGGGCGGGCTGGTCGGATGTGGTGTAGAGGCTTGCCATAGCGAGTGCTTGGCATTGTCCGATACCTATCTTACACGTCCCTTCGACCCAACTGCAAAAGATCAACGCCACTGTGGAGAGGTCGTTTGGCCTAAAAGCGTGTGATGCTGATTTTTGGGATATGTTTAGATGCCTTTGGGCATGTCGGGTCCTTTCTCCCTTTCTATTCTATTCTCCCTTCCAACTGTGACTCGGGACTGTGCAGTCGGGGTCCGGGGGATTTTGTTTTGGAGCATGGGCCGGGACGGCGGGGGATTTTTTTGGAGCAGCAGCCGGGACGGCTTCAACAAGCTACCGGTAGCAAGATACTGTACTAGTATGAAGAGAGAAGAAGCACAGGATGCGAAAGTACTAGTACATCCCTCAACTGGTACTGCTGCTGCATCCGTCTCCATCAGCCGCCATGACACCCGAAGAAAAGTTAGTCAAAGTAGAGTCCTTAAAGACTCAATTCCAAGATACGCTTGACAATCCATGCCAAGCCTCCGCCGAAGATATCTTGGGTTGTTTCTTCGGCACTAAATTCGACGTCAATTCCAACAATTTTGAGGATTCGATCAAGGAAGGCCACTGCATATGGGACATGAAGAGTTTGTGGTTTAGTGGAAGCCCCCTGGAAAGTTACGATGGCATGTGCCGGTCGATGATTGCCATGATCGAAAAGGCTGCGAGTCAGGAACTTGGCGAATGGAATTCTTCCGTCAATGGACGAATGGCGCAAATGATCTTGTTCGATCAAGTGTCGCGAAATGCCTTTCGCAGAACCAACCAAGCCTTTGCATATGATACGTTAGCGTTGGAGCACGCTCGTGTCTTGACTCGCGCCTATTTGGGTCAAGGAGACTGCACCCTTGAGGGTGTCTTTTATCCGCCGTTTCTCATGTTCATGTCCACCCCCTTTATTCATTCCGAAGAGATTGAGGATCACAAGATGGCATTAGAGCTATTGGACTGCGCCAAAGACAAGACACCCCACCACCTTCAAGAGTGGTGGAAGATGGTGAGAAAAGGTGCCGTGGCTCATATGGAGGTCATTCAACGCTTTGGAAGATACCCCCACCGAAACCGGTCGTTGGGCAGGACTAATACACCAGGAGAAGAGGCTTATTTGGCAGATGTGGACAACTTGCCTAGTTGGGCCAGAAGCCAAGTTTGAGGCAAGAAGAGGAAGAACTTCAAGCGCGTGTCTGCAAATCATGGGAAGGCTGCCGCCGGATTGTTCAACTGTATGGGCACCCTAAACTAACTATGTGTTGCTCTAAACCAACTACATGTATGTATTGAATTAGTTGAGTAATCTGCTGTAACGCTGTAACGATTGTTGCATCTCAAGACCACTGTATTGTTGTTCAGAAGAAGAGCACGTATCTCGTCAAGTCGCGCCAAAGGATTTAAAGCATTTTCAGCAAACAAGCAGATGACGAACTCACAACAATCCAGCGAAGAAAAGATAAAAGATGTTATTAGCGACAATGGAGTCCCAGGCCGCTGCAGGAGCAACAAAACCAGTACTATTAGTAGGCGATCTTAGCCACATCCTTAGCCTAGGCAAGAACCGATTCGCCCATCAAGATTTCTCTCCTCTGCACTTCTTCATTCTCGCTCGAGCGCCACTCGATTCCATTCGAAAGGTCTGCGAGGCTGCACCGTCAAGACTTGGCTGGGATACTGTTGCACAAGCCTGCAAACATGGCGCAAGCAAATGCCGTTTGAGCGCTGTGCTTGGCATGCCTGATACCGTACCTTACCTTCACATCACACTATCCCTAATTAACCACGGCTGGACTGGTCAGACGTGTTTCGTCTCCCCCACCTCACACAGCTCCTCACTCCCAAGCACCAGCGAAGCAGTCGGGAAGTGGCGCTCCAACTTGTCCATCAAACCACGAAACAAAGCGAAGAGGGCGAGACTGTTCCTCTGAAAAGGATGGGATTGTTTCTGTGGGACTCGAAGCATTGAGCCGAACCCAACCTCACAAAAAGCAATCTAGCAATCCCAGAAACTCTCCTCGAACAACAAGCGGCAACTCTCCCAAACAAGAAACCATGATGTGGCGTTCCAAACTCGGAAATGATTTCGACAAGGCAATGATTGAACGAAGTGAGGCTCGAAACAAAGCTGAAATCGATAGACTGCGCCTTTTGCCGGAGAATCGATTCTGTGCGGATTGCGGGAAACGAGGAACTGTCTGGGCGTCGGTCAATATCGGTGTCTTCTTGTGTTTGACCTGTGGATCGCACCACAGATCCATAGGCACCCACATCAGCAAGCCCAAAGGATGCACGGGAACTTATCTCTGGGGGCCTGATGAGATTGCACAAATGCAAAACATTGGGAACAAACGAGCTGCTCAGATCTACGGTGCTGCCTCTGCGGATGAACGACCCAGTCCCAATGCATCGGATGCAACTTGGCGCAAATTTCTAGTGGAAAAGTATCAACAAAAGAAGTATGCACCAAGACTTCATCAAAAGGAGCCAGAATTCGACTTCTTTTCTCATCCGCATCCACGTTCAGCAGGCGTCTCGTTTGGTGGATTTATGAAGGCACCACGACCATTCCAAGACAAGGACGCATTGGTCCTCGCTCAGGGGGATCTATTGTCCTTCCATGAACCCAATGCTTCTCGGGGGTCCAGTTGGGTGTCACTTCAGGAGTCGTCCTTCCCAAAGGCAACCGCGAAGGGACAACAAAGCCCAGATTTCTTTGCCGAGTTCGGTTTGTGAAGGCACAGACTCTAGCCAAAGGGAGAAAGCACAAACCATTACCCCTGCATACCGTATTGGCAATAAGCACTAGCCAAACTATACAATACTAGCACCACCGTAGCACTACCGTAGCACTACCGTAGCACTACCGTAGCACTACCGTAGCACTACCGTAGCACTACCGTAGCACTACCGTAGCACACAGGTTCTTCTCTCGACCCCTCTCACAAATCCACCAGTGACCCAACCCCCTGTCACCAATCCACCCACAACCCCAAGCCCCGTCACAAATGCACCCATCACAATCCCTCCATCTGTAGATCAATCACAAGAGCCCATATGGAACGAGAACATGGTTTGTTTGAATACCGTCTATACCGATGTTGTAATCGTACGGGCCGGCTTGGCAGGGGTTTCTGCGGCCGTCACCTTGCAAAATGAGGATCCTAACCTATCATATTATTATGTGATTGAGTCATACTGGAATGCACAGATCGTGTGGGAGGACGGGTAAAGAGCACGACTTTTGGGGTAAAAGGGAATCAATGGAAGATGGTGCGAACTGGATTATGGAGTTCAAGAACTGTTGGGGATTCGCGATTAGGGATTCAACCCCTGTACCTCTGTACTAGAATTTCACAGTAGAAATACAGAGCCCACCCACTTTTTCAGTAGTATCTCAATAGCAACAGTAAACTAGAAGAGAGCTTAGAGCAACTAACATACTACTGAAAAAGCGGTCTACTATCGAGTCGAAGAGGAGTCTATCGAAGCAACGAAGAGTCAACGGTAGCAGGAAGAAGATCGATAGAGACCAAGCCTGTCGTTTCGACAGCAACGACGCAATCGGCCGACGCCGAACGCGACACGAGAAGAAGACCGTCGACGACGACGACGGTATCGGTACAAGACCGAACAGCAGGAGCCTGTCGAAGCATCGACAGCAACAAGTGAAGAAGCCTGTCGAAGCATCGACAGCAACAGCGACGACGCATCCGAGGACGGATCGCGACGACGCAACGAGTGAAGGATCCGAGGACGGATTCGAAGAACAAGAGCTGCAGTCGACGACGCAGCAGAGTTTCATCGGCAGAATCCACAAGGATTGCCGATAGAAGAGCCGACAGCATCCAGCCGGAACTGTCAGAGCCAACAACAAGCGCGAAAGCCATAGTGCCAGCGCAGGAAGGGGCCAAAGGAAAGGCACCCAACAAGGAATCAACAATACAAAGAAACGGGTTCGGAGTGGAAACGACCGCACAGTCGTGTGAAGCAATCGTTCCATCTCCTGGCAAGATCTTTAGTAAATAGATTTAACACTCCTAGCCAGGAGTATAAATTGAAGTTTATCGCCCCATAGCCATAAGACGAATAAGTAGTCGGACGAGAACTTAATTAAAAGAGCTAGTCAATCAAAAAAACAACGAATTGAAACAGTCACACCTACCGTAGCATAGACAATGAGCTGGTAGAGGTAAAGGACGAGGTGGCCGAGCAGGCGGCAAAGCACGAGGGATGGAAGGAACCAGCCCATCGCGAACCAGCAGAAAGGTTCATGCAAAGCCCTCGACCAAACTGTGTTTAACTTCGGTACAACTGGATCTGAACGGCAGACCAGATGATACTACATGGGAGAAGATCGTCATCCACGTGGACAAACGATGGGTGACGACATGAGCAATGAGCTACGAACCTGAAACAGACAGTGTTGTCGCACCGGTGTACTCAGAGAGACCCGGAACAGGCTTGACGCGGCAGCGGAACGACGTGAACAGAAAAACCTTCGTCTCCTAAACGGCACCGAGGAAAGCCTAGAGCTACTGGAAGACGGGATAGCAGAGGTCATTGAAAACCCAACTCTCGGTAGCTACAGC